CGTGCGCCCACGGCCGCCAGCGCGTCACGAGATGGGCGGCCAATCAGCACCCCGAGCGGCGCGGCGGCAACGCTGCCATTCATGCCGCAGAACCCGGGAGAAGGGGGAGGAGCCTCGTGTTGGATGGGGCGGGGCTATGAGAGAGGAGGAGAGCTGGGAGGGCGGAGCACTCCTAGAAGGGGTGGAGTTGGACGGTGGAAACTGAAGAGGCAGAAGCCAGAGGAAGAGAAATTGCAAAGGAGGAGATAGGCCAAGAATCTTAAGAACAATTGTGAAGAACTGTCTGCGTTCTAGTCCTGGCTGTGTGGCATTCCTTCATTCTTCACCATTCATTTCTTCATAGCTCCGTTCATTTATTCCTTCACCATTTTGAGGGCCAGCTCCGCCTAGGCTATTGTGCGAGGCTCCAGGGCAGTTTTAAAAACCTTTCCTTGTCTGCCACATGAGAAGGTTGGTATCATTAAGAAACTCTGAGATTCAATGAGAACTACAAATGGGGGTATCCTCCACAGGGATCTGTTTATTGCTGTACCCTCCAATTCTTTTTTTTTTTTTTAAGGTTTTGTTTATTTGACAGAGAGAGAGAGGGAACACAAGCAGGGGGAGTGGGAGAGGGAGGAGCAGGCTTCCCGCCGAGCAGGGAGCCCAATGCGGGGCTGGATCCCAGGGTCCTGGGATCATGACCTGAGCTGAAGGCAGACGCTTAACGACTGAGCCACCCAGGCAACCCCCACCCCCCCCTTTTTTTTTTTTGTCTAGGCAGCTTCCAAATAAACCTAACAGTAGCGGTGAATCGGTAATCGGGTCCTGTTCCTAAACTTAAATCCTGAGGGCTTGCTGGAAGAGACGTTCAAAGAAAAGTGAATGATGGGTGGCTTCTTGATCCTTTCCCTTATCACTCCTGGAATTTAGGTGTGCTCCCCTCCAGGTAGACTGTCCACACCCATCCTCCCCCATCCCAGACTGGTGACTCTCAAGGGGCTATTAGGCCGGCTTGTTAGGAGTGTTCACTCTGCACGCAGTGGAGCATTGAAAAGCTGGAAATTCTTTCAACCAGAATTCTAATTCCTTTTCCTTGAACATCTGCCAACTGGGAGGTGCTTTCCATGGTTATTTCATTAATTTCCCCAGGAACTCCAGGAGACAGGCATTATTTTACTCATTTCACAGATAAGGAAGCTGAGAAGTTTAAAAACTTGCCAAAGGCAAATCTAGGACTTGTACTCAGCTTTGTCTAACATTAAAGCTTCCAGTCATTTTGGTACAACACACTGCCTCTCCCTAGGATTTTAAAATATTTTATTTATTTATTTTTGCATGCCCGCCCGCGCGCGCGAGGTGGGGGATGGGGAGCAGAGGGGCAGAAGGAGAAGCCGACTACCCGCTGAGCCCGATGTAGGGCTGGATCACAGCACCCTGGGATCATGACCTGAGCCAAAAGCAGGCGTTTAACCGACTGGTACCCTCTCCCTAGGATTTTTAAGTAGTAAGTCTCTTTAAAACAAAAACAAAAATTTTTTTTCTACACCAAGTGAGAAATACGGGCATGGATTGAAAGTTTACTAATCTGTTCTGTCTGGCTCCTGGGCAAATAAACAGGTGACAGTGGGAAAGGTTACAAAGGAAATAGCTAATAAAAATAGATTAACAGGGCACCTGGGTGGCTCAGTTGGTTGAGCGACTGCCTTCGGCTCAGGTCATGATCCTGGAGTCCTGGGATCGAGTCCCACATCAGGCTCCCTGCTCAGCAGGGAGTCTGCTTCTCCCTCTGACCCTCCCACCTCTCATGCTCTCTCTATCTCATTCTCTCTCTCAAATAAATAAATAAAATCTAAAAAAAAAAATGTTTAAAAAAAATAGATTAACAATAATAATATGAAATAATATAAGAAGGTTTAAAAAAACAACGAATCAATGGATGCTAGGTCACCTTCTATCAATGACTTAGGAATATACAAAGAAAAGAGGCTCTCAGAATGTGGTGGGGCTAATTAGGGAAAATGGTGCAGAAGAGAAGGAAGTCTGGAGATGGATTTTGAAAGAGATGATGGGCATGACTTGGCACAGCCTTTTATAAGGGGAGAATGGCTTGAAAGATGTGAAGTGGTTAGTATGGGGAAAATTTGTGGGAGGACACCTGGATTTAGAAAGACCAATGTGAATGGTATTTACCCAAGAGAAAAAAATGAGTGAGATAAAAATCAGATTAAATCGATAGAATAAAATCCTTGACCTACAGTGTCTCTTCCACAGAAATGCAGGAATATTAACTGAAAGTGGCTTATTTAAACAATATGATCACAAATTTAAATCAGCCTCATTGTTGGTAAAACTCGTCCCCAAAAGTAAAAGCAATCCTCAAAAGATAAAAATAAAATACAAAACGGGGCGCCTGGGTGGCTTAGTCGGTTAACGTATACGGCTCAGCAGGGAGTCTGCTTCTCCCTCTCACTTTCCCTCTGTGTTCTCCTGCTCTCTCTAATAAATAAATAAATAAAATCTTTAGAAAAATAAATCACAAGAAACAGCTTTGAATTAATTATGTAAACACCTGCCACATTTTTTTTAAAGTAAGGTGTCCATTTGGATCTGGTTCTGAGGACAAATCCCAAATATGTTTGCAAAAGAGGTACTGGATTCAACTTAGAGATTAGTGTTATGAGAGGGGAAGAAAATGGGAAGTTTTTCTGCATTAGCAGAATTACTGCATTAGAGAATTGTTGAGCTCAAAGACATAGTTCTTTCTGCAAAATGGTGGGTCCACATTTGCATGGGCACGGCTTGTGCCTAGAAGAAATAATTTGTGATGGACGGGGCGCCAGCTACAGAGGAATCTCTTGGGAGAACACCTGCTCTGCTTGCTGAGGGGCACCAAGTTTCTGGACAGGATGCTGACCATACTAGGAAGCACCTGGAACCCAGTCCTCTGGCTGCTGTTGCCCAACCAGAAAGTAGCAACTGCTCAAGACGATGATTTCAGCAGATGCTCAGGAGGGTTGCTGAACTTCTGATTTCACATCTTATTTTGTGATGGCTTCCAATCTGTCTCTTTACCAATATGACAAAGTAAAGCAATTACTAAAATGTCAATGCTCCTAGCCTTTTCCAAAGAGAGGAATGCTGTCTTTTCCTACTTAGTCTTTTGTCCACATTCCCTGATGCCATGGTCTGAATATTTGTGGACCCCTCCTGGCCCCCAGATTGATCTTTTGAAATCCTAATGCTCCAGGTGATGGTATTAGGAGATGGGGCCTCTGGGAGGTGATTAGGTTAACCAACACCCTCATGAATGAGATTAATGGTCTCTTAAAAAAGAGGCCTGAGGAAGTTCCCTGGCTCCATCCACCATGTGAGGACACAGGGAGAACTCGGCAGTCTACAACTGGAAGAGAGCTCCCATCAGAACCCAAACATATTGGCAGTTCTGATCTTGGACTTCCAGCCTCCAGACCTAGAGGCAAAAAAAGTTTTCTATTGTGTATAAGCCACCCAGTCTATGATATTTGGTAGCAGCCCAAATGGACAAAAGACACCTGACCTTTGAGGAATACCTGTCCCTTTTATGCCCAGCTCCTGGACTTCCATGATGAAAACAATTGAAGAAAACAAAGGAAGAAAGAGAGATCCAGGAGAAAGAAAGGATTTAGGAAGACAAGCTATATTGATTTACATGATGAAGCTGAGTGAGGGAAAAATATTCCCTCATCGGCAGAATATTGGTAAAGGTATTTTGTGAGGTGGGGAGGGGTTTAGCTAAGTGAGAGCGTTCAGAGAATTGTGGAATATGAGAAGAACAAGAAAGGGATTGTGAAAAGTTTTGCTAAAAGTATGAGTTGGTTACTCTAACATTTTCCAACAAGTTTAATGATATTGAAGTTTAGGATCTCCCTCCCTTTTTTAAAAATTATTCTCGGGCGCCTGGGTGGCTCAGTCGGTTGAGCGACTGCCTTTGGCTCAGGTCATGATCCCAGGGTCCTGGGATCAAGCCCCACATCGGGCTCCCTGCTCTGCAGGGAGCCTGCTTCTCCCTCTCCCACTCCCCCTGCTTGTGTTCCCTCTCTCGCTGTGTCTCTCTCTGTCAAATAAATAAAATCTTTAAAAAAAAAAAATTATTCTCAGCTGCTCGGTTGTATTTATTTGAGAAAGTGATATCTTTCAGAGACTGGATCACATGGAAGGAGGGTGTACAATGGTTACACAGATTCAACTTTCTGAGTGCCTAATGTGGTCCTAGAACTATTACAGGTACCGGCTCATTTTACCCTTAAGACCATCCTATGAGGGAGATAATGTCATATCTATTTTATAAAGCAGCAAAAGCTTAGAGAGGCTCTGTGAGTTACTTAATTTTGTAAGTGTAAGTGAAAAAGTCACGATTTGAGCCCAGTTTTTCTGACCCCATGAGTGTTTCTTTTCGCTCGAGCCTCATCACAGTATTCTATTTGTTCATGACAGATAGAAAGTGCTGATGAAGAATCATGACTTCTCTTCAAGAGAGAAAAGCAGAGTACGCTGGTGTGAATACCCGTGAACATTTCTAAACTTGCACACACTGAAAGATGATGCTCTGAAACTTCACCTGCTATTGGATTGTGTCCGGACCTAGTGTCATTAATTTATTTGTCAACTAAGAGCAACTGGGCCTCCTTGGACAAGCCCTTGCACCTGCTGTATAAATTTCTTCTACTTGGAAGGAACACAAACCTGAATGATTCTCTAAAAGCACAGACTGTTACTAAAGTTTTTGTGAATCCAGAAAAGGGAATTACATTGTGTATCACTCTTTTTTTTTAAGATTTTATTTATTTACTTGAGATAGAGAGAGTGAGAGAAAGAGCACAAGCTGGGGG